ATCTGAGACTGAGTTTAGGTGCTGGGTTTTAAGAAGCTGGAGTTGTTTCTATTCATACTAATATCCCAGGTAAGCCCACTACTCTACAGGAAAAGGTCTTTTGCCACTGCCTTGTATCTCTCTGGAGACGTTGGTGCTCTGAGCCCTGACTTATATGGTAACCCCATGTCCTTGCCAAACTCCAAGTTTTGTTTGTTTTCATTTTTAAAGTCAGGGTCTCATTTATATAGCCCTGGCTGTCCTGCAACTCACTATGTAAACCATACTGGACCCAAACACATAGATCCACCTGTCTCTGCCACTTAAACCCTAAGATCTTAAAACAGTATCCTCTATACCTACAGAGCCTGCCACAAACCGCAGGAAACACTGGGTATTTCAAAGTGCTTGCAGAAAGAAAGATGTGATTTCTTTGAGGCTACCTGCATAAGTGCTCATGAAGCCCTTGGCTGAGCCTTGAGTCAGATTGTTTTGAACCCTGTGCATGTATGGGGTTGTTTGTTTGTTGTTTTAGGCGGGATCCCCATTACGTAGCTTTAGCTGACCTCTAACTCACTATGTAGAAAACACTAGCTTCCCACCTACCTCTCTGTGTGTTTTAATTACCATGTAATGTCACGGTACAAGCACATGTTCTGTACTTTACTGCAGGCCAACCTCCCTTGCATGTACTAACTACAGATACTGGTTGACTGGGTTTTTGTCTAATTGAATTTCAGTTTGTACGTCCTGGAACGTGTGTTCTAAGGTTCATCTTCTACTTGCATTCTTTTTTTTTTAATTATTATTTTATGAGTATGGGTGTTTTATATATAATGTTTGAGTACCACATGCGTGAAATGTCTCCGGAGGCCAGAGAAGGACATCAGATTCCCTGGGACTAAAATTAACAAATAGTTCTGAGTCACCATGTGGGTGCTGGGAATTGAACTTGGGTCTTCTGGGAGAACAGCCCCAGTACTTTCATTCCTTGTGATTTGGGTCTCCTTGTCACCAGGTCTAACAGGACAGAAAACTTTGATAAAGGAGACTCACGCCACAAAGGTCTTGTAAGAAGCCAAGTAAATACATGCATGGCCACAGTTAATTAATTTTTAAAATTTCAGCTCCTTTGTGTAGCTGGGTGTCTTTGCCTGTAGTTTCACTCTGTCTCCATTCACGGGATTATGTTTAGGTAAGGCTGTTATCAGTTTTTCTGAGAATCATCTCCAATGGTGAGATAACTATTCAGGTTTTATTAGTTTTTTTTTTTTTAATGTTGTTGTTTGTTTTGTTTGAGTTAGGTTCTCAAGTAGCCCAAGCTGGCCTTGAACTCCCTGTGTTATAAATGTGAGTATTGAACTTACAATTCTCCTCTACCCACGTCCCAAGTACTGAGGTTACAGGTGTGGACAACCATATCTATCTTACAAATTTTTAATGGTTTAATAGATTTTCTGATGTTTGTAGAATAAAGAAAATGTATTTCTGCCAGTTAAAGAAGAAAAGGATTGTTTCCTTGCAATTTACATTTCTTATCTTTCAGGCTGATTGTTGGTTGAGTTCCAATCACGTTGACTATAGCACTGTGTAAAAGATTAATTTGAAAATGTGACACAAAAATAAATATTGAAAATGGCAAAATTCAAACTCCTGTGAGCACACAGAGGCTGTTTTACTGCTGGCTGTGACCATTGCTAGTGGATGTTCTGAGAAGAAAGGACAGGAGGGTGTTTCCCAGGGGCATGAGGAGAGTGGTGGTATTGTCCTGGTCAGTAGCTTTTTCTTTTTTCTCTTTCTTTCTTTCTTTCTTTCTTTCTTTCTTTCTTTCTTTCTTTCT